CTTCAAAAATACTGTACACTTTTCCCAAAAGGTTTCCACAATTTTGGCCACTACTGTATCTTGCATGAGTGGAGCTACATGAGTGTGTATGCTGGTCTACTGCTTACTCATCTCCGTTCCCCCCACCACCTGCCAGACCACCAAGCTGCCTGCTCCCAATACTACAAAAACGGAACGGTGAGAGCAGAGGCTGATTGGCACAAGTACATCCTGCTCAGCTTTGCTGACTCAATGAGGCTGCCTGCGCAGATCACTCAATCTGCTTTTGCAGACTAGTTGAGTCTGAAGGAGCACAAGAAGGCTTCTTTGCACCAAAAGCTTTTGCAAATGGAAGAAAGGCTTCGGGGGAGCGTTCTCACGGTGCTTCAGGCCTTCTGTCCCTTTGCAAAAGTTTTTGGCGTGGAGAAGCCTGAAGGAGCTGAGACAACGCCCCCAAAGGCTTCTCTTCTATCTTGCGTGAGTTGAGCTGTACTTGTGTGTGCACACACTGGGCCATTGCTCACACGGCCCTGTGCCCCTCTCCCTCCCCATCGCTAAGTCGCAAAGGTTGGGGACCACTGATTTAAAGGCAAACTTAGAATGTGTTTACTGAGTGAAGTAGCCAATATTACTCAACAATCCATGATATAAATTAAGACTCTTCAAGTATTTAACAATATTCCTATTATCAAATGGAAATTGGGGGTGGTAGGAGAATGCAAGTATTTCCATGCCTTTTTGCTAGTGTGTTACTTCTGTCAATCGTCTCATTAGTGATGGAAGATGGGCGGTTCAGTACAGATTGGAAGTGTTCACCCCATCGCTGTAGAATCAGAGTCTTCTCAGTGATGAGTTGCACCAACTGAGTCCAGTAGGGAGGAGCTCCCTGAGGGCTGAGGTCTATACAAGGATATGAGAGCTTTTTTGTTGTTGTTGTTGAAAACTGTTTTATTTCATTTTCATTTTNAGAAATTAAAATGGCTCTTTGCCCAAGAGCCCATACTGCAACACCCCAACCCAGAATGACAATTCATAATCCAGACGGATGCCAATGATATAGCGGTCGCGGCAGTGCTACTGTAAAAGAATAAAGAAGAGCACCTCTTTCTGTGCTCTTACATCTCCAAAAAACTCACCACTACTGAAAGGAGGTGGGCCATTTGGGAGAAAGAGGTGTATGTGATCAGATGGTCCCTGCTCACTTGGAGACATTTCCTGGAAGGGGGGAATGTGCTGTTCAAGGTCTGGACTGACCATAAAAACCTTGAAGCTCTCAAAGCCGATCAAAGACTGTCCCCAAAGCAAGTTCGCTGGGCACAATACTTCCAAAGATTCATATTCAAACTGAAACACATCCCTGCAGGGAAGAATTTGTTGGTGGATGCCTTGTCAAGAAAACCACAGTATGACAGTAAGAAGGAAGAAGTGATTCACCCCATCCTTTCTTCCTTCCACCAAAAGGCAGCTGAAGTCACCACCCAAAGCCAGGATAAGCTGACGACAGTGATGAAATTGGTGCTCCCAGCAGACCAGTGGCTCAACAATAACAAGGACATCCTAACAATGAAAGATGGCTTAGCCTGGAAGGGCTCCAAACTTTATATCCCTTTGGGGTTGAGGCTGGAAGTTCTACAATGAAGCTGTAATGTGAAATTAGAAGGCCACTTTGGATTCCTAAAAATGCTCCACCTTGCCAGCCGCCAATTTTGGTGACCAAAGATGAAATCGGAAGTGGAAGATTACATAAAAAGCTGTGCTACTTGTGCGACAATGAAAATACGGCCTGGGAAGCCCCCTGGACTACTACAATGGATCTCCAGCCCTAGCTGACCATGAGAAGAGATCGCAATGGACTTCATCGTTGAGCTCCCAGACAGCAGTGGGAATAGAGTAATCTGGACAGTTATTGATTTGTTTTCCAAGCAGGCGCATTTCATCGCTTGTTTGGGATTGCTGTCTGCAAAGAAATTAGAGAAAATATTTGTGAAACACATTTATCACCTGCATGAAGTGCCCAGGAGGATCATTTCAGACCGTGGAGTCCAGTTCACTGCCAAGTTCTGGAGAGAGTTCCTGAGGTCCATTGAGTCCACACAAGGACTGAGTTCAGTGTTTCATCCAAGCACGAACAGAGCAGCGGAGAAGGCTAATGCGATGGTGGAACAATACATCTGGTGTTATGTGGACTATCAGCAAGACAACTGGTTGGACTTGCTACCCTTTGTCGAAGTGGCATACAACAACGNAAGCTCATCAGATGCTTTTTCGCTAAAAACCTCAGCCAAGTCCTTATATTCTTTGGGTATGCCCTGGGTTGGCATAGTGTAAGCAGGCATTGCTGCCCTCTCAGTTTCTTTGTCTGGATTCTCAGCAAAAGTCATGTGCATCGGCACTCTTATGGTGCCTTGCTTCCAATTAATTTTGGGGTTTCATTTTTTCAGCCATGCAAGACCAGAACTAGTGGCCAGGCGCCACTATAAATGTAAGCATTTCCTCGTGGCTTCCGATGCCTATCTGTAGAGGCTCAGTGGCAAATGAAGCTGGCTCCCCCCTTGCTATTGACCCATCTAGTTGGCAAAAAGATATGGGGCTTTTCAGCTTCCTTATATTAATCCTCAACATCCTTACCAGGGTTGGGCTGATTAAACAGTGGGTGTACCCCGAGTCCACTAAAGCTGAGATTTTCATCCCCATCTCCCAGTTGGGGATAAACAGTTTTAGGGAAAGGGTAAGTGGTTTAATTGGTTTGCTTAACAGTGGTTCAACCTCTGGATCGCTTCCGGATGAGTATGGTTCCTCCTGCTGCGAAGCCGGGGTTTCCTCCTCAAAGAGGAGGGGGGTGGAGATACTACAGTCTCCCTACTCCTCAGGGCCATCTCCTTTCCGTGTTGGCCAGGTTTGGTAGGCTTTCCCCCAAATGGGCAGTCTGGTTTCTTTGAAACAGGCTAAGGATTTCGGAGAAGGTGTCATTTGCGGTTTAAAAGGTTCTTGTTTCCATTGGGGTGGGGATTTCTTCCACATTCGTCCTGCTTGGTTCTGATTTCTGGCCATGTCAATCTCTGCCTCTTCGGCAATGAGATACCACTCATGTAGGTGGTTTGGGGCACCTCGGGCCACACAGGCATTGTAGAGGTCATCACTCATCCCATCCTTGAACCAGCTTACCAGGACATCATCTGGCCAGTTCACATGACATGCCATGTCTCTGAATTCTTCGGTATACTCTGCCACTGGCCGGCGTCCCTGCTTCACAACCTTAAAGTGGTTATGTGCTTTGCGGTCTGTGAGGGGGTCCTTGAACCGTCGTCACAGAGCCATCATGAAACGGTCAAAGTCCCGCAGTTCTGGTGCATCGGCAACATGTAAAGTCACCATCCATCTGGTGGCAGCTCCTTCCAGGGCTAGGGTAACCACTCACACTCTAGCTCCTTGGGTTCGAAAATCACGCTCATATTCTTGCATGTAGGTGAGCATGTGTGCCACAAAAAATTCCAATTTTTTCAGGTTCCCATCAAATTTTACCCCCAGGGAAGGAGTTTTCCTTTCTAATTGCAAGTTTCGGGGTTGGTTAGGAGTGGGCCCCAACCCATGCGCCAACTGGGGTGAGGGTTTTCTGGGTTCCAAGCTGTTGCTTCTGTGCCATCAGCTTGATCAGCAAGGACCAGAGGGGGGGTTAGTTCCCCTGGCGTACTCCCTGTTTGCCGCCCTTCCAACGGTTCTCGGTTGCCGGTCTGGCTCCTCCCAGATGTTGAGATTTTCCAAAATTTCCATCACCAACTGAGGTTACATGCCTCTTCAGAGGATCCTCTCTCAGCGAGGCTTCATTTAGCTCCTCCTGGTCAGAGGGGGCTTCTTGAGTAAGAGTGACTCTCCTGGTTCTCCCTTCCCAGCCGTCTTTCATCCTGATTCCGATTGACCAATGGGGCTTTTTGGGGTCCTCCAAGCTCACCCCATTCTCTCCGCAAGGGTACAAGGAGCAGGTCTCTGGTTGTGGTTTCCATCTCCTGTTAGCAGCCAGTTCCCCCTTGTTCGCTGTTATGCTCAGACATGGTTTGCTGGGTCCCCTCGGTAGAGTAAAAATGTTTTTCTCCTTGTTGACCACTTTGCAGAGAGATGCNAAACAATAAAAAAAATTGTCAAAAAATAAAATAAAAATAAAAGAATGCCTAGCAAGAAATTTGGCCCAAAATTTCTAGGTTCATTCCCAATAGTGAAGATAATTAACCCAGTTACAGTTCAACTCAGTCTACGCAGAATCCTAGGGAAAATTTGCCCAGTATTTCATTGTAGCTTGTTGAAGCCAGTAATTGGGTCCAGCATAAGACCATCCACCCAGCCTCCCCCTCCTCCTGTAGTGATAGAAGGGGAAACACATTCTGAGGTGAAAAAAAATCAGACTCCCAGGCTGTATAGGGGTCACTTACAATATTTAGTGCATTGAAAGGGGTACCCTTTGCCTGAAGCTACTTGGGTGAAAAGCTGGAACCTAAAAGCAGATAAGTTAGTAAAACAATTCTATGATAAGTTTCCTGATAAGTCAAAGGGTCTCCCTAAGGGGGAGGGAAGAGGTGGTTAATTCTGTTATGTTAACCCCTACATTATTCTCTTTTCAGGAAACATTTTTCTTCTGAGGAGAGGATGTCTGTCAGACCTGCAGTCAGGTTCCTTTTAGATCTTTGGCCTGCCACACTTCTATCTATGAGGCTGTTTCCATAGTAGGGAAATGGGAGGGGGGTAGTAAGGAGTAGGATGTGATATAACTAAAATAAAATTCCTTTTAGATTGCCAAGGTAATCTTTTGTCTTGGTACCTCTGCACTTGACCGGAACTGGATGGGTGGAATTGCCAGCATGGCAGTGGAAGATTGGACCACGTGATGGACTTGTGGGTGTGGAGGCAAGATCTTGAACTTTCAACTGGGTGGGGAAAACCAAGAAGCTTCAGATTCAGGTTTTCACAGATGTGCCAACGTGGTTCTCTTAATAAATTGGAACTTTGAGCAATACTTTGCCTTGAACTTTGATTTAATTTTGGATGCTATTTGGAACCCTGACACCTTGCTTGTGCAAATGGAGCTGCGCGTGCTTGCCGGCCCCTCCCATCAGTTCACAAAGTTGGAAATGTTGGGGGAAACTGTTCTAGAGTACATAACAGCATATAAAACAAAAAATATGTTTTATTAAGTCCATATGCAGAAAACAAACTGCTCTTGTAATTGCTGAAAAGTTGGCCACTGAAATCTAATATGATATTTTGACAATAAAAAGTCAGTTGTAATATAATGCTTTGCTTCTATAGAAAAATTACACATAGATTCTCAATGGAATTACATGCTCATTACCAAACATTTTATCAAAATGGGACAGCACTCATGCTACCCTTGACTTCTTCCAGGTTTATTTATCTGAAATAATAAATGGTATGTATTATCCACTTGGGTTCTTCTCCGTTATATGGAAAAATTGTTTTAAATGATAGTGTATGATATAAACATTGAACCATGCTCTGTGAGTCAATTTACCAAATTCACCAGATATAAAATCATGTTGAATAATAATTGTAAAAAGAAAAAAAATAGCTTTAGAGGACATATAGTAATAAAACTGAACCCACCAATTTTTCACATTAAATAACTTTCTCTGGTGTGTACAAAAGCCTGCTCAATAGGCAATATTAATTAAATTCAGTAGAACTATATTGTGTCCACTGTGAAAAACAGAGCTTAATTCTAATAGCATGATTTTATTTGAGTGTTTCCTGGCACCGTAGGAGCGTCTGCTGTTTCTAGGCAGTACTTCAATTTATTCGTGTTAGATCCAACTTTTTAGTAGAGTGCAGTGTTGTTCAAATTTAAATGTGCCTTCTCTAACCAAAAAGAATCCAAAAATAACATCATTTGCCAAATTAACCTTTCAATAAACAATCCTCAAAACAGTCCATTAGCTTAAAGCAGCAAAAGCTGCAATAGCATAAAAAGTATTCATAACTGTTGGGAAATAATGTCAAGTTGTTACATATTCTGTCATCATATGTGACTTTTTTGACAGGCTGTCCTTTGGCAAATACTACTTTATAGTTGATATCTTCAGTGCTCCAATAATCTCAATAACTTTCTTTTTCAGAAACATCTCATGCATCATTTTCTTTCTTGTAGTTTGAACTGGTATATTTCTTCTTTGTTTTACTACCTTTTTTTTTCTTTTTTACTTCTCATCCTCATCACCTTCACTCATACTGCTAATGGATGCTGAGGCAACCTTTGGGGAAGAAGGCGGTGAAGCTTTTCTGAAGAGCCAAGGGGAAGGAGGAGATGGGGAACGTGATGGGGAACGTCCCCGTGTTGGACTGCTTGTGGGACTTTGCCTTGGAGATAAGGCTTGAAGCATGCGCCCACTCCTCTCTTGAAACATCTGCTTCTGGAAACAAAGAAATGTGGACATGTATGGATACAGTAATAGATATATCCTCAGCTCACATTCTTAATTCTGTTTTTTCCCAATAATCTTTTTATCTTTAGGTCTGTTTTTATGGGTGAGTGAGATGTCTTTCCCCAAAATATTGCCAAAGTACATGCAAGGTAGGAGGGATTTTAAAGGGCAATGAAGTGGCAGGGAGAAAGAAAAGGTCACAAGTGAGCTTGGAGCACTCTTCCTACATTATTTGAATGCCTTACAGTGTTTCTGAGAAGGGGAAAAATAAAACATCAAGCAAAAATTTTCCTTCATCACAATGTGATGAGGCTTAACAAAGGTTAACTCTTATATTATTTCTAGATGCTACTAAATTATTGCGGAAATGAAGATTTTTAGTTAGGAAAACAGTGATTTTTTAAAAATAAAAATATAATGAAAAAAGTAAAAAAACTAATCAAACATTTATGAATCATAATTGTGAATAAGCACAATTAAGGTTCATTTTATGCATACTTCCTATGCAAGTTCAAACACTTAAAAAAATTAGAAAGTATAAACCCAACCAAAGTAATGCAACATAGAGCATTGCCTGTTTTATACAGAAGATACATAATGTTTTTCATGCCAGCACCAATTACTGTTTTGCAGAGCAATTGAACGTTTGACTCCTTAAGAAAAGAAATAAAATTAAACTAATGGATTGATTTCTCCATTTTTAATATGTTATATATTCCTATTTCTATCTGCTTGAAAGTGAATAAGAGTTCAAATATATTATTTTATCTACTTATGATAATAGCATATTAATACATGCACATGTATGAATTAAGACATGAATTACTCTTCTATATTTAATGTCAGCATTGAAAGCAATGTTTGAAAAGAAAAATTAATAAAATTGATAGATTTAATTTGCCCCAGAGCAATATCATTTCTTTTTCTAGAACAATGCTATCTCAAGTTGTACTCTTAAACTGATTGTTTTATGGGGCCTCTAACTACAAAGGCTTTCATGCAAATATTAAATTTCCGTAGGTACTGTCATTCTGAATTGTAGAAAAAAACCAAAAGATCTTTTCACTGAGGATGGTTTACTAATACAGTTATTATAAAATCAAATCCATTATATGCATTATCTATTATATGCATTAAAATCAATATTACTGATTACTACTGTATATAATAGAGTGCTTTTTTAAAGAATGTATCATACTTTTCATTATAAACTGAGGTAAGAAAATTTACATTACTACTTAATAATATATCTTGCATGAGAATGGCCTCAGATTTAGTCCCTGGCAGTTTAAGAGACTTTGTTCAACCTGATTTTGAATGTTGAATGTTATTGTATTTTTGTTATATTAATTGCTTTGATAAAGCATGCTTTATTTCTTCAAGATATTTGGGGGTATACAAAATGACTCATTAATAACTTATAAATTATATGTATGTGTGAAAAAAATAAATACCCAAGCTCCATCTGGTCCAAATAGTTCTAAGAAGTTGCCAATAAACTCCCTAGACTTTTCTTCCCATTTCTGAATGAGATCATGGCTTTTTTCTTCAACTCTATTGACAAATTCTTTAGATCTTTCTTCCACGTTCTTCACTTTTTCTTTCATCTTGTCTACCTGATTTTGAAAACGGTATTTCTTCTCCTAATAAAAAAATAAAGGTAACATGAGACATGAAGAAATTTGGTCACTATATATTGACATTCATATAAGTAACGTTATATTAAATATTTACATAAACATCTTTGAGTATTAAAGATAACAAAAATCACAGCTTAGGAAATAGAAATAAAATGTAGTTTTTGTGAAAAAAGCATTGAATAGATGAAATCAATATAGTTTATGGTTTTTGGAATGACAGCAGCAGTGGGATTCAAATAATTTAACAACCGGTTCTCTGCCCTAATGACCAATTGGGTGGTCATGTGACTGTGTGGGCATGGCCAACTCAACATCACTCATGTTGAGGGGTGCTTCTCCTTGCCTGGCCTCTTCTGGCTGTGGGGATGCTGCAACAATCATAAGTGTGAAAAACGATCATAAATCACTTTTTTCAGTGCCTTTGAAACTTTGGTCACTAAGTGAACTGTTGTAAGTCAAGAATTACTTGTACAAAAATACAAAAAGCTTGTTTGCTTGCAAAAAGCTGCCCTAAATACCAATCATTAGATTAAAAAACCTGCAAGAGTTACACATCAGACAGGGTGCCAGAGCACCTTGAGGAATTAAAATAGTTAAAATGCAATAACTATCAGCAGCCAACTCTTGCTCATAGTGAATCCCTTTAGCAGAGAGGTAATTTAAGCTCTCCAGAAAGAGCACACCCAGGAGAAGCAATCCTTAGATCCATTTGCACCACTTAAAAATACCAACTGGTCTCACTCACCTCACAAGATATCCTAAGGAGATCATCCAGATTAAAGGAAATATCACATGCCCCCCATCCAGAAAGACAATAAAAAAATCAGTGCCAAGCTTGCATCCTGCCTCTTGGAAGTACACCCCAAAAGGACAGTGCCAGGAACCACTAAAGCAGTGAAGGTAGACCCCCTCCCCAGATAGAAAAAGAAACCATGAAGCAGAAAAATTCAAAAACAATACAAATAATTAAATCACAACAGTTTAAAATTAAATCCTTTTAAAACTAAAACAAGCCTTGTCCTTTAAGAAAGTCAAGCCCCAGCTAAGTACCAGCAATGGAAAAAAAACTCTAGAGAAGCTCCAGAAGCGACAGTAAATCTAGGTGTATTGTCAAGAATGTAATAAGGGTCAATAAAGAGGCAGTTTATGTAAGCAGGGCAATAAACATTAGGCTAGAAACAACACCAGAATGCTTCCTTCCTGCCTTCCTTATAAGCTTATCCCTGTAAAGTGGAAAAAAACAAAAGAAGATTTCTTCCAACAACTGGTTTTCTAAACTGCTTAGAAAGTTAACAACAGATTCTAACAAATAGGTGCAAACTGGTAGAATCCCACCACTGGATGACAGACAGGGAGCTCATAACTTATACAGAAAGATGGTACCTGATAAAGGTACTTGCTGAAAGGAATATTTTTAGGACATGCAAGATACTTTAAGTGTGACATAACCTGCTTTTTTCAGGAGTCTGAGAAATGCAATGCTTTCTCCAGACTAAAGGATCTCTCTCAGAGATGAAATCAACTTACAATACGCAGGAACGTCCACATATGTGCAGACTGTAAAAAATGGGACGTGATGATATCCGGGCGGGTGGGCGGAGCCTCTTGCCATCACCGCTACCAGTTTGCCCGAACCGGATAGAACCAGCTGAATTGCATCATTGATATATGTGCATGTGCCTTTTCTTCTTTTCTTGTGGATCAAACCACTTGCGAAATAGATTTGCTAATTTGGTATTTAATGTACAGGAATTATAATGTACATCCAACCGAAAAAGCAAGACATTTAGTAGAATATTGATCTGTGTGATCATAGTTCTAGAACCTCTCAAATTGAGCTTTTGGGCAGAAAGGCTACCTTCTGAAGAGACCAATCACACTCACTAAATTCCTTAGTTCCCAGACCACCATTGTGTCACTGGTAATATGGCATGTATAGCAAAGAAGAATTAGAGATCATGTGAATATACAGGTGACCACTTGAAAAAAATATTAGCTGCTCTAGACATTGTAGAAGGAGAGCTGTATTAGTCTATGGTGGGCAAAAACCCCCAGGAGGAGTCTGTTAGCATCTTTTCTGACAACCAAATTTTATTAAAAGGCACAAACCTATGACTGTTAATAAATTGTATTAATGAGAAAAAATGCTACCAGACTCCTGCTGGTTTTTATGGTACCTGCCATTGTTCTCTGCATTTATTTACTTATTTAGTGTATGACATAATATACATGAACCTTAATGTATATTAACGTGTCACCAAACATGAAAAAACAGTAAAATATGAATGTTAAACAGATCTATATTCAGATACCAATGTTTAGGCTGGGGGGGGGTCAGCAACCCATGGCTCTTTGGGCCCTCTGCTGCTGCTCCCTATCCCATCACTGACTGACCCCGCCCCTCCCTTGCCCGGCCTGAAAAGGTAAAGGCAACGGTGGGGATGGAGAAGCGGCAGGGCTGATTCTCCAGTGCCTCACTTTTGTGGAGCTTCTTCTGGCCCTTGTTTGTGCTGGTCATGCCTCGGTCATTTGGGAAGACATGCAGTGTCAGATCCCTAAAAGTGATACTGCCATTCAATTGGAAGGAGGGGGGGGCTCAGAGTTAAAACACTAGCTGTACCTGTAACAATTGAGTTTTATAACTTTAAAACTGGTTTCCTGTCACCAAAAGACTGAAGGTCCCAGCACCTCTGGAGGGATGTTTATGATGGCCATGTGGGATATCTTACTTTAATGTCTAACTAGAGATAGCCATGGGAACGTGTTTTATTCAACTCTCAGGGCAGAAGAGTTAAGGAAACATCTTCACACTTGTGTATTGGTCAGAATCTGCATTNTACAGCTAGTGATTTAACTCTGAGCCCCCCCTCCTCCCAATTGAATGGCAGTATCACTTTTAGGGATCTGACAGATAGGGATCTATGGGACCTGACACCCATTCTCTGGGAGTTCCACGATAAAGTCTATGGCTATTTCCTCCCAGGGTCGTGATGATTCAGTAACTTGCTGTAACAATCCTGGGTTTTTTCCAGGTCTTTTTTTCATCATTGCACATGTCGCACAGCTTTTTACATAGCTTTCAATGTCCTTTTTCATTGCTGGCTACCAAAATTGTCTTTGCACTAGATGCCATGTCTTTATGAAGTGGCTGGTTTGCTTGGAGTTGTGGCTTCTTTGTAGAGCTTGCACCCAGAGAGTGCTGGGGACGTTCAATTTTAGACCTTTCCATGCCAATCAGTCTCAATAGGTCAGAAGTTGTTGGTTGTCCCTAAACCAGGGGTCGATTTGTAGCTCACTCTGAACTTTTGAGTTAGCTCTTCCCCCAGCTTGCTCATCTCTGAATCTGTTGCCTCTTAGTGACTTGTGCTGCCTTCTGTGGGATGGCAATGATGGCTTAGACTACTTCTTCATGATTACTCTTGTACTGTGGCATTTGGGTCTAGGTAATTCGCTAGGAAGTTTTTCCCTCCTGGGATGTATTTCATCGTGAAGTCGAACTGGTTAAAATACTGCACCCGTCGAACTTGTTTGGAAGAGAGTTTCTGAGGGATCCTAAGGGCCTCCAGATTTTTGTGTTGAGTCCATTCTTCAAACGGCACTTGAATCCCTTCTAGGAAGTGCCACCAAGTTAATAGTGCCCAACAGACCATGAAGAATTCCTTCTCCCACACTGCCCCCTTTGTTCAGGGTCAATGAGTTTTCTGGAGGTGTAGGTGCACAGTTGGAGGTTCCCCTCTTTGTTCTTCTGGAGAAGGACTGCTCCTACAGCTACTGTCAAATTTCCTAAAACTGCCCTAATAGATTCATAAGCATCGAGTTAAGTTTTCAATACCAAACCAGTCATTTATTAGGAACACCATTAGGCAAGATTGGTTTGCAGTCAAGCCTCTGCTTTGTTTGATTTATCTATTTGTATTTGGTCTTATATGTTAAAAGTTTGTCTCCCCCCCCTTTTAAAGTTGTAAGCTGCCCTGAGTCCCCCCAGGGAAAAGGGCGGCATATAAATAAACTTTAAATCTTAAATCTTAAATCTCTGAACTTTACCCCTGTTCCTTCCCTCCCCTCAGTCTGTGTCATAAATCACATTACCCTATAAGATGCACCCCTCCCAAACAAGCTGCAGTAATCTGAGATCCGACTCCAGCTGATAGTATATGTGGAATGCACTCCCCCCCCCCATTCTCTGCTGATGACAACACTGAGAGTCAACATTCAGCTTCCCTCACTTTCCAAATGTAACCTGTGTGAAGCAAAAACAATTTGAGTACAAATATAGGATTCAAGGCTACGTCCTCCCCCAGACTTGTTTGGATTTTTCTCATGGAATCTTTCTATAAGGCGATCAGCCTGGATATTTCTACTCTTCACCCAAGATGCCTCCAACAGGGGGTAGCCTTCCACTTGATTAAGTACTGGAATTATCTCCTATGCCACCTCAAATCAAGGATTCATTGCACCTCATAATGGGTTTGGCCCCCTATGACCACAGGGCCTAGGGGCTCACGCAGTGATCTCAGAATGGATCCAACCACAGGTTTTAGGAGGTTTACTATGGAATACCGGGTGTATCTTCCATAACAGTTGGGGCAGTTTCAATTGCACTGTGACTGGGTTGATGATCTTTGCTATGAGGAATGGTCCCACAAACTTTGGTCCAAGTTTCTTGCTAGGGAGTCTTAACCTCAATATTTTGTGGAGAGGTAAACCTTCTCTCCCACCAAGAATGGTCATTGCGGAGCTCGGTGTTTATCTGCATGTTTCTTATAGGTTTGTGCTGCTTTAGCCAGCGCTTTTTTGACATTCTCCCAGGTTGCTTTTAGCATTGACATCCAATCAGTCAATCTGACTGAGAAGGGGGATCCCTTGGATACTCAGGCATTGGGATGAAGTCCATGCTGCTCACTACTTTGAACGGTGCTACTGTGAACAGCATTATTGTACGCAACCTCAGCAAAAGATAACGTAGCACTTCAGGTACTGCTCTACCATAGCATTCAGTCTCT